TCTTTCCCTTTATTTTAGTGCTAAGCATTGCTACCGTAGCTGCTAGCATGTTCTGGAGTGACCTGAGCAGACCCCCAGAGATAGACCCGAGATGGGTATCTGTCTCAGCTAGTGAATATACCTCAGATAGGTGGTGTGCATCAACATGATTTTACCTCTTTAGCCTGCATTTTCAATCCAGACTTTTTTCTTGATCTCGGCACCACTAAGCAGTTTCTGCTGTAACTTGGCCAGCAAGTCCTAAATGTGGCCAGCAGGTCGAGGGAAGGGATTCTCCCTCTCTACTCTGCTCCCGTGAGACCCCACCTGGAGTGCTGTGTCCAGCTGTGGGGTCCCCGACATTAAGAACGATATTGATGGGTTGGAGTGAGTCCAGAGGAGGCCACGAAGCTGCTCAGAGGGCTGGAGCCCCTCTGCTATGGGGACAGGCTGAGAGAGTTGGGCTTGTTCAGCCTGGAGAAGAGAAGGCTCCAGGGAGACCTTATAGCACCTTCCAGTGCCTGAAGGGGCTACAAGGAAGCTGGGGGGGACTTTTTACAAGGGCCTGTAGCGACAGGACAAGGGGTAACGGGTTTAAATTGAAAGTGGGCATCAGGGAAGAAATTCCACCTGGAGAGGGTGGTGAGGCACTGGCACAGGTTGCCCAGAGAAGCTGTGGATGCCCCATCCCTGGAAGTGTTCAAGGCCAGGCTGGATGAGGCTTTGAGCAACCTGGTCTAGTGGAAGGTGTCCCTGCCCATGGCAGGGGGGGTGGGACTAGATGGTCTTTAAGGTCCCTTCCAACCCAAACCATCCTGTGAAAACATGCAGTATAGGTGTTGGCATCTTACCATAGACACCAGGGCTTAACTGTCCTTTTTGAAAAGGGAAGAAAACCCCAAATACTGCGCAGATTCCTCTCAGCACTCAAATTCTTTGTACCCAGCAGGGACAGGCTGGCTCAGAGGTTATAGGTCTGTCGTCTTGTTGGTAGAGAACATCGAGTCTCTATTGTAACACTGGTACTAAGCTGTTTCAAGTGCATGCTGATGGGAAAACTGCTATAAATTACTGATGAGGCAATAAATTAAAATTAGAAGATGCTGTCTGCTCTGTCATAGAGGAAATTGAAATAGGTTTCAGTGGAGGGAAGACGGACACTTAAAATCCTGGAAGAGTTTACAAGGAGGTAATTTATTAGCAGCCAGTTTGCCAGCCTGGCGTCCCGTTTTTTTAAATTTCTGTAACTGATTTGTAGTTGCGCAGGTGTATTTTTAAAAACGGTCTCCTTGCAGTGGTTTGTACAGTGGCCAACCCTTTCTTTCAGACGGACGTTACAGCTGGCTCGACAGCTGAAGGACAGAGCTGTGGAAGCACAGGCCTGCTACAGCCTGGGGAACACGTACACTTTGCTTCAAGACTACGAAAAGGCGATTGATTATCACGTGAAGCACCTTGTGATTGCTCAGGAATTACGTGATAAGTAAGCCCTAAGAGGTTGTTTAATGTATGCACCAGGCTTATACCAACTCCCTTTCCTCCAACTCCGCTGTCGCTGTTCACAAATTCCCCTCCTGTTCCCAAATTCCCCTCGATGCGGGGCTCCAGTTTTCGTCGCGGGGGGAGGGGAAATTACTCATGAAAGCGTTGCAGCTCATGAGGCGGAGATGAAAGAGGAACCGATGAATGACACTCTCTACATCTTCTGTCAGCATCCCCTTTGTAAATTAAGGACAGGAAAAGCAGATCTATCTTTTTCATGGCTTCATTATAATAATTTTGCATACTTTCACAACAATACATCTCCTACTTTTCCACACATTAAGAATATGGGAAGGGGAAAGGAGAATAGTACAGTAACAAGTAATGCTTATTTTACAATCATGATTTCTAAGGCCTTTTTTATAACACCGGGTACAATAAAATTTTGTGCAACTTTCAATGCCCTTTTTCCAACTCAGTAGGCAGAACAGATGAAGAATAAGGTGTGCAATCTGAGGAAAAGCAAAATAGTAAAACGTTCCATGCGTGCAAAATGGAGCGTTTTTTGTGTGCTGTGAGCCGAAAAATGACAATTTTCATTAGATTTGCTCGTATTCATGGTTATGCCCAGATCACACTGTTAAACACAGCAGTTCACCTGTTGGTGTTGGGGTGGTTTCTGACAACGGCCTTCATTGTTCTTGGCACCGCAATCTTACTGTGGCAATGTTTATGAAAACCTGACCCCTAGTGTTCCAGAAAGTATCACGGCAAATGCGTGTTTTTTTGGCAGAATTGGTGAAGGCAGAGCGTGCTGGAGTTTGGGGAACGCGTACACTGCCCTGGGAAATCACGACCAAGCTATGCATTTCGCAGAAAGGCACCTGGAGATCTCAAGAGAGGTACGATTTCCACACCGGCTGCTGGCTGGCTTTTGCCCCCACACAGTGATTTTAGGGGGGTGTGTTCGTGCACAGAACTGTGAATAATGGGATGGGTATTGAATGATTTCTGAGATAGCTGAATCGAAATTATTTCAGCCATCTCTCACTGCAACTAGCTCCTTAGTTCTTGTGCCACCTCCGATGAAGTCTGCATGGCATTCAAGTTAACAGCCTAGAAGGTGGTGTTTTAGGCTTTGTGATGTACCTTTTAGTTGTTACTGAAAAGATGATTCAGTTTTCAACCAGGAAAACCTTTTCAGCCTTTTCTCAGAAATCGAAGGGTTTGCTTCACATTTATGTATGTGTTATGCTTTCTTACAGAAATAGATGCTTATTGTGTTTGGTTGCAGGTGGGAGACAGGAGCGGGGAACTCACTGCTAGACTCAATCTCTCAGATCTTCAGATGGTTCTTGGGTTAAGCTACAGCACAAACAAGTTCATGATGTCAGAAGGCCACGTGGCAGATAACAGTTTGAACGGTAGGTGCCTGTTTCTGCAGTACTTTGCAACAGTAAACTTCAACAATAACCTTGTTCTTTTCTGACTAGAGATGGCTGAGTATGGGGGGGGTGGGGGTGTTCCCCCACCAGCAAAAAAAGGTTGTTTTTGCAGTACTGGACCCCTTCAGCTGCTTGTCAATCAATAGGTTACTGCTTAGTTTTTTCACATGATGCTTCTAAATTGTCACCTGCCCCCTCCTCTCCTCACACTTGTTTTTTAATTATGGGAGCAATTATCCATTAGATAATGTATGCCTTCCCTTTTTTACCCTTTTTTTACCCTCCTACTGCGTTAGCAACACTGGGGGTTCATTTGATGTCCCTCTGTTCCACCGTCCTTCCCTCGTGTCCCACCAAAGCAACCTGAAAGTGGCTTAGGTTAGTGTGGGTTTGACGGCTGCTTTTCCCAGTGGCCATTCGTTCTCTGCACTGTTCTGGAACACAGAACTGCTGCATCCTGCACCTTCCGTGAGTGCAGCTGTGGCTCCGGAGGTGACGCCGTGTAATGATGAACTTGATTCTTTCCTGAAGGTACCAGACCCAGAGTAGGCCGCCGCCACAGCATGGAGAACATGGAACTGATGAAGTTAACACCAGAAAAGGTTGGCACTCCTGTTCTTTCTGTTCTACTGCTGAGACTGCACTGAAGCATCTGAAAGGGTTTAGCTTGACAGTTGGGAACGGTCAGGATTTACACTTAACAGCTTTGAAAGAACTTAGCAGAGTGTTTTACTTGACTTTAATAGTTAGGTAAAAGCAGGTCTAACAACTCTAACAAATAATACTTTTGTCACGTAGGTAACAGTCAGCATCTCCCATACACAGCGGCTGTAATGGCTTGTGAGGAGCTGGCTTTATTCCCCTCACAAGGGAGAAGGAATGGGGTCCTGTAGTGTGCGCAGAGGAACTCCTTTCATCTCCTCCTTCAAGTGACGTGAGGGTGCAGGTGGAAGCGACGCAGAGCGAAATGCCTTGAGCTGGGCTGTTCTGAACGGCTTTTTCTTTGGCTGCAGTCACCTGACAGGCACTTAAGACACGCGGGGTTTTTCACTTGGGGTTTATTTCACTGAAACCGAGTCGCAGATAGGTAAAGCGACTTTCCCCAAGTGCAGAGCAACCTCTTGGAGCTGGGAGTTCCTGATGAAAATACTTGTGTCAGTCTCTGAGGGCTTTCCCCTCAAATTCTGCCTGCCTGCAGGCGCGGAGCCGGCAGTTCGACATGCACACTCGGCTGGCAGCCCGAAATTGCTGTTTTCCCCTCCATACCGGGATATCGAATTCCCAGCTCTTGGGGTGAGGCAAAGCCTGCCACCACGTTTACTGGGTAGGAAAGTAAATCTCAAAGCTTGTGCCCTGACAGCTGGTACAGCTGAGGTCAGCACTCTCTGGGTACTGTTGTAAAAAGGTGCATTTAGTCCAGGGCGATTTCTCTGCAGGGAGCCTCTAGGCTTTTGGCCAGTGTCAGCTGTATGTTCTTACTCTCTGAAGCTGTTTATTTGTGGTAATTTAAAAACACAGCCTGCCGTAGTCCGTGCCCCAAATACACCAAAATGCTTCAGGTGGATTTTCGTAATGAAGGGTTAACCTGGTACTGCAGCATAGCTCTTGTAACGGGCACGTCTCACGGTATCGTGTAGTAGGTTCTGGAAACTCGATCTGTGAATGTCTGATAGCGAGAACAACACGTGGCACCGGCATTAGGGTTTGATGGTACGTGGCGGCATCTCGGGAGGGTCGGAATCTCTGCGCTGACCGTCAGCCTTTAAAAGGCAGTGCAGTTGGGTGGGCAGTGCCACGCAGGATTCCCGATTGTGTCCACGATCGCTGATGCTGAATCAAGAAAAAAAGTGGCTTTTTGTTCAGTTCTGTTTTAAAAGTTTGTCAGTTGTAGATACAGCTGTCCATTTTGTGGAGAACTGTGTTTATTTTAGAAGGGAATTTAGGAAATTCTGTCAGGCTGATAAAGCTGTGATCTTCAGTGAAACGAGAGATGGTTGTTCCTCTCTGCTCTTGTGCTGGTGTACTTCTCCCTCCTCCTTTTCAGTCTTTACTGGGAATTTGTGTCTATAAAGGACTTTACAGAAGGCTGGTTGAGTATCTGGGTGTGTGTAAGGGTTTGTTTTGCTCTAATGCTTTGTAAAACTGCATCTTTTTTCCCTTTCCAATTATACAAATGTCAGGTGGGAAATGCCAGCTGTGTCTGCATGTCAGCATTTACATTAACTGTTTCCTGCACTGCACCTTCGAGTAAATGTACTACGGGAGCACATTTTAACCAGTCGGGTGTCGTGCTACAGCTCAGTTATCAGACTGAGCAGTAACAGCACTGACCTGCCTCAGGGAACAGCAGTTCCGTAGCACAGGTCAAGTAACGGAACCAAACCCTAGGTTTTCACACCCCCGTGGCTGGATGTTTACTAAACAGTGTAACGTTCCTCATTCTGGGGAGGAGAAGCTGCAGCAAAGAAGGGGTAATGGTACAGGTAATTAAAATCAGAAGGCTTGATTTCATGACTCTTGTTTTCTTAGGTTCAGAACTGGAACAGTGAGATTCTTGCTAAACAGAAACCACTAGTTGCCAAACCTTCAGCAAAACTGCATTTTGTAAATCGACTAAAAGGCAAAAAGTACAAAACCGCCACCGCTTCCAAAGTTTTGCAGGATGCCAGTAATTCTATTGATCATCGACTTCCAAACTCTCAGAGGGTAGGTTTGGGAAGCTGTGGAGATCATTGCCTTTCCTCATCTTTGGTCACGATTCCGGGACACACATTCCTGCAGCTGTCCCATTTCAGTTTTGCTCGAGTGTGACCCTGTGGCTCTGGAAAACGCTGCACGGCTGCTGTTCCGCAGCCGTCTCCTGCATGCTGCCAGCCTCAGGCCTTGCTTACTGTTGGAACGTTTCTCTTTCCCGGTGGATTTTCTGAAGTTACGGCTCAGCCTGCATGTGTATTTTCTTTCTAAACCTCTTCTAGACCCTGCTTCTCCAAGCTTAACAGACCCGAGTTTTCCAGATTTGGAGAGCAGGAGATGTTTTTGAGGCATTTTTTAGGTTACTGCACTCCTGACAGGTGTCCGTTAAAGGAACGGAGTCATTTCTTCTGGGCGACATGAGTGCTTGTGCCCGCAGACCTGAGGAGACAACGGAAACTGAGCACTGCTTTTCTTTTTTCTTTCGTGAGCATTCGGGTTTTTGGTGGATTCATGGCCAAGGAGGAGTAACACCAGTTGTACTGCTCAGAGTACCATTCCCTCCTGGTTCAGAGAAGGAAACGTTTCTACCTTGGAAGATTTCACCTTCCAAAATTGCTCGCTGTATTATCAGCATTTCCTCTTACGATAAATCTATAGAAATGGGTGACTAAAGAGAGTCATTTAATGGATTTCAGATACGGACATGTCCAAGGTACTCTTGGACTGAAACTGCAACGCAGCCGTCCCAGCTCTGAGTACTCTTCAGTCCAAAATACACCTAACTCTTCTCTCCTCTTCAGAAAAACGGTCGGGAGACGATGGCAGATGAAGGGTTCTTCGATCTGCTGAGCCGATTCCAGAGTAACAGGATGGATGACCAGAGATGCTACTTCCAGGAGAAGAACAGACTTTCAGCTGCTTCAGTGGCAACATCCTCTACCCCACCTAAAACAATGAGAAAATGTAATTTTTTACAAGTAAAATCTGTATCTGTCTCTAGTTCCTGCCAAATACTCTTTTAAAAACGTATTTGCATGCGAGATGTACTGTGGAAAGGCACGTGGCATCAGGCTAACCTGTTTTTTTCCTCCTCCCTAGCCTTCTCTACTTTGGTAGTCTCGCCCCACACGGAGGAGTTTCTAGACCTGCTTGCCAGCTCGCAGAGCCGCCGGCTGGACGACCAACGCGCCAGCTTTAGCAACCTGCCTGGGCTCCGCCTGAATCCGCGCAACAGTCGCTCGGTCCTGGGTCACCTCATGGCGAGCAACAACAGGGACCTGGATGACGACTTCTTTGACAGATTGATAAAATGCCAGGTACGGTCTTACAAACGTTCCTCGGGTGCTGAGTCCTTGGGGATTTGATCTGGGCATCCTCCTACTGAGTTTCTTCAAGGAAACCGCCTCGTTTGTCACGTGTTCTTAAGGTACAGCTGGCTTTGGCGGATCGAACACAGAGAACAAAAGACAGAGGGGTTTTTTCAAGGTGGTTTGGTGGGGTTTTTTGCAATTTCTTTCTTGTTTTGATTTTTTCCCCTTCAAATCATCCAGTGTCTAGTAAGTGTAACTCTGGTATTTATACCCTATTGACCATTTGAAGTAACAAATGCTGCAAAAGCGAAGGAAAACACGTGAGGGTGTTAAAAGGACACGTAAAAGGAGTTTAAGGCCAAGCGTTTAGACAGGGTGCCTGGCACACCCGGAGCCCTGACTTCTCAAGGGAAGGAATTCAGCGTGGAAGCGTGGGTGGTGATGGTGACCGTGACTGCAGTTAGGCCTGAACACTGGTTGGTAGCAGCGTACGTCTGCAGGGTCTGACTCTCGGAGCATGGTGTACGCACCCGTTAGGCCACAGAAACATGTTATTAAAAAGACTTGGGGTTTTACCTGATGGGCTGAGAAGGATCTCAAAATACAAGTCATGGTTTAAATAACAACAGAGTGAGTGAGCAGTGGGGTTTAAAAGCAGCACGCTACAGAATTCGGAATTCTCCGAAGGTAAGTCTGTGTGTCAGCTTGGCTGGGAAGCAGCAGCTGGGCACCGAGTCTACAGTGACAGTGAAATACTCTGTGCTGTGTGAGCAGCTTCTCTGGGTCAAGCAAAGGCACTGGAGATTAAGGCACTAGTTTTGCCACTTCATGTGGCACTGTATGTCGCCAGCCTAACACAACTGACCGTGCTTCCTGGGAAAGGGCGATTCCCTCATTACAGACGCTGCTGCTTTCAACAGCAGCCCAGAAGGGCCGCTGAGCTGACTTCTGAGACTTCTTGTCTCCCAGATGACTCTGCCCCAGGCCCATCCAGCACTAAGCGCCATGGAGAGACTGCTTTCCCCTCCAGCTGCCGGAAATATCCTGCCCAGTCTCGGAGCTACCGTAGATCAACCCAGTGTAAAGCCTGAGCGGGGGTGGCTGTGTCGAAAGGGGAACTCCCTGAGCATTAGCCGGCTGGAACATTCCCATGACAAGCTACCAGACCTGTGAGTCTGGAGGAACAGTGCCTTTCCAAATCTGACCGCAGGGGCCGTTTTTCACTCCCTGCCTAAGGGGAGGAAGATGTGTGAGACCAGAAGTACCACACCCTGGTGCTAAAATTCTTCCCTGGACACGGAAATCTCATTCTGCAGTATGAAGTACAACTGAACTGGGGGGGTGTATTTTCACAGAGGGGCGGACAAGTGCTTTGGCAGAACCTGTTTAGCTATTTCAGTTTAACTTGAAACAAAACTTGCCAATTAAATCCTTGTAATGGCTTTAAATCTGAAACCAAAAGCTTTTAGTAATTTTTCCCTTATATTGTTCACTGATGTTATTATCTGTGCTCCTGTAAACATGCAGCCTGATGGCTTGGTCTGTCTGTAGGGTTCCAGACTGGATGATCAAAGATGTGCTCCTCCATCATCTGCCAAAGGACCAACCGTACCAGACGAGGATTTTTTCAGCCTGATTGTACGATCACAAGCTAAGAGAATGGATGAACAAAGAGTCCATTTACCCTCAACTATAGAGGCACCCAAGTCCAGCTGAAGAAGCAGGCACGCACTTACAGCAGCATCTTATGTCTGTTCTTCCAGCAAACAAAAATGATACCTGCCTTTTTACACAAGACTGTAAATAGTAGTTTTGTCCCCTTTCTAGTTGTTTTTTGTATAAACAAACAGATACCAGTTACTGTCACTCCCTCTTAACCACCTCTAATCTACGAACATTGGCATGATTTTTTCCCCCTGGAAAGGCATTCTCATGGATGTGTGGATCCTACATCCATGTCTACATCTAGTTCACAACCTAACTCTGTATGTTGTTTTTAAAGAGAATTTGATTTTTTTTCTCCTGATTTGTACCTCCTTTGGAGAAAGGCCCTGGTTTGTTTTATATAATTTTTTTTTTTAATTAAAAGATATTGAGAAATAGCTCCAGTATTTAGTCTGTCTTTGCTGAAACAGTTTGGAAGAAACAACAATTTTTATTTTAAAAACCCCAACCAAAGCCTAGTTTGAGTTGTGGTTAATAGAAGAATATTATTTTCAAAACGTGCTGGGGTTTTTTGGTAATACTTAGTAAAATGTTTCCTGCATTGCTCAGTGCATCACTTTTTAAGAGCTGCCGCTGCTGTTCTGCAGGCTGCGTGGTACGTGTCCGTGCACCAGGGAACCACGGGGGTTGTAGGTGCAGGGAGGGAACAACCACGGCTCTCGGGCCCTTCCTACAGTAACCGAAGTTAGGATGTTTTACACACATTTACTGTCTGCATGTTGCTTATTGCTTCTCCTTCTCTTGGTAGGAATGTGCTGTGCTGGGAACAACAGTTCCCAAGTTCCCTGTCTTCCCCGTGGTAGACACCTGTAGGGAGGGAGTGAGTTCTGGGGAACTACATGTTGTTTTAAGTGTAGGTATCCGGAGTCAGAAGCCACTGGTTTTAGCACCAAAGGTGGCAAACCGTTCGCTCTGGGTATTCAGAAATGATGTGATGCCAGTGTTCTACTGAAGTATGATACCCCTGGAGACGCATCTACGGCTCATTTTAGCTGCAGAGTAGAGGAGCGTTGCAAGAACAGGTAACTGGAGACAGGCTCCACATAACCCACCCTCTTTTACAATTACTGAAAGTTTTACAAACGTTCTCTTGCACGTTTTTAGCACTAAAATTGAATGCTATTAAAACTGTCCTCCTCCTGCTTTTAAGGAGAAATGCCAGAATATTCTTCCAAAACCCGTGTGTTACCAGCAGGTTATCCTGCTGATCTTCAGTATGTTTACCTACTGCTCCCTACTCCCCATTCACCTTTGGATTGCCCTAAAAACCATCAGCTTCCCCCATTTCTGCAACAAAGCTAGAGGCAAGTCATCAAGCTGTCCCGAAACTGAGCTGACGAGCAGCCAGCTGGGTTTAAGGATAAAACCCCTAAGACAGACCTCAGACGCCCACGTGAGACGCGATCCGTCTTACACGAGTTACACGACCATCGGCAACGTTGAGGCTGATGAGGTTTAACATTCGCTGCGTCAGAGTATCGCCAGCGCCTTCCCACCACCGGGCATCGAGTTTTACTCAAAACCGACTGCACGAGCTTGGTTTCAAACAAGCAGCAACACCCCGCAAGCCCGTTTTCTTGGCCACTTAAAAGTTGTTTTATCTTACTTAATTCAAATCCCAGAAGTAGCACGTATGCTCAGTCCCTCAGGTTTTAAAACTCCAGCTACCCTACCACTACGCTGACTGATGCTCTGGCCAAAGAAATGTCACCATCAGCGCGCTGATGCTGTTTTCTACACCTGAGAACTAGAGCAGAATTAGTGACTATGTGACAACGAAAGGTGAGACAAAACTTACAGCGGAGTTTGGGGCCTCCTTAGTCTCCTTCCTGCGCGTCACATGCACTGCTCTGCTCTTCAGGTGGTTCTGCTGCACTGCTTTTCCCTCCTGGGTTTTTGTTAGGATCACGGTTTTCTCCAGTCTCCCGCTCCGCTTTGCCCGTCTCCCGTTTCTGCTGCTCAGGTGGCTGTTCTGCAGTACAGTTTTCAGCTGCCACAGTTTCTGGTCTGCAGACTTCAGGCTCGGTGTGCAATCTGTGCTGTAAAAATTAATAATAAGCTGTTAATCAGGCAATCCAAAATGACAGCGTCTACTGCTTCAGGTGCATCTCAGCCCAAGGGGCAGCACTCCCCAGAACACCGCTGGCATCTTTTCCTCCCAAGGAAGCAGGGAAACCAGCACCATCTGGAGGATAAGGCTGGGTTTCATTTCCTACAGCCTGCAGAGGAGTCAGCCCTGCTGCTTCTCCCCGCCTGTCCTCTGTGGGGAATCGCGGCTGCCCAGGCTGACAGAGGTACTCCTCCCTCAGAAGTTATTTCAAGTCTTTACTGTAAAAGTAGAGTTCTAATTCCGTAGTTTCCTACCAGTTTCCAATGCACAGTAGGTTTCCAGAACAAAACATGCCCCAGCTACCTCTACTGTTCTGTAGGGCAACAGGTGCTTCCTTAACAACTCTCTCCCCAAGACTTGGCTTAAGCTGCTCCTTTAAGCATGTTCTGGCAGACGCACTGACATCAATTAGGTTCAATCCCATCGGAGAGCAGCAGGACTAACGTACACCAGGTTCCGGTCCGTCAGATTCTTCTACTTGCGTGTCTGGCTCGTGGCTCGTACGGCGGCTGTCAGGACTCCTGCTGCCGTTTCCTGGCCTCGCAGGGGCATCTCCTCTGTCGTAAGGTCTTCTGTAAGCAGAAGGAAGCTCCCGCGGGGAACAGCCGTCAGATTTGCGCCCGTCGTACTGCCCGAAGTCTATCTGCTCCTGCTGACTCTCGGGTGGAGGAAGGCTCTTCCTCGCAGACGACGTTAAGTATCTTAACACAGACACTGATGATCCGGCACCGTAGCAGAAACCCTGGGGGGCAAAACCAGAGAGACTAACCACCACGCATCCACAGCCAGCGGCTCTCACAGCAACTCAGCCGCATCTCAAAGGCCCTGAAAGAGCAGCCGCAGTAGCGCTCGCTCCAGCCTGCCGCAGGAACTGCAGCTCGCTCCTGCTGCGGCAGCAGAGGTGGTGAAGGCTCTAACTCAACGCCTGCGACTGCAAAATGCCGATTACAGGCTTTGCTGGGCAGCCATGCAAGGGAGAAACGGGAACTGCACTGCGATAAACTCTCACGGAGGCTAGTTCTTCAGGCAGTTTCACACAGTTTTACCCCACGTGGGGAGAGGTGCGGCTGAAACCCAAAGAGCCCTTTTCCTGGCTAAACCAACAGGACTATACAGGCTTTGTCAAGAACAAATTCCCTTGTGGAAGTAATTTCACCTCTGCTAAGGAATCTGTTCAGCAGTGCGAGTAAGACATAAATAATATAATAGATAATACTACTTAAGTAAGCTGAATACATAAAAAAATAAACCCGAGCTTTTAAATGTAAGATAAATGTATACAAACCAGGACACCCAGAGCCATCATCATCAGCACTGGAACCTGCAGAATAAACGGCATCTCCTTCATCAGTCCCTTCATGAATTCACCAATACCTTGTCCTACGTGCTTGAGAGGCTCAGTTACAAACGTGGTTAAAGTAACTGCCAGTGCCTGTTAAAATACAAACAGCAAAGGTCACTGATGGCAAACACGGGAGTCGAAGAGTCTCTTCAGGCCTGGCCTGTACCTTTGTCGGTGGCACCAGCAGAGCAGGATTTACTAGCAGAGTTTCATAGTACTTCTGGCAGGGATCATCCCGAAATGTCCATTCACTTCTGAACCACTCTGTAGCCAAAGCAGAGACATTTTTACTACTTTTTTAAAAAGTACTTTATGACACAGTAGTAATGCAGAAAGTAGCACTGCAGTTATAGATGGGAGAGACCTGGTCAAGATTTATTTTTAAAATTCTGAGATTAACTTGGCAGCATAGCTTATCCAGGCCCCGGGATGCAGGAAGGAGAGGGAAGGCTGGAAAGAAAAGAGAAGAAATGGAGGTTTTCCCATATTTAGGCAAGGAAGTTCTCTTTATTAGATGAACTTAGTCCCTAGAAGCCTCAGAAGAAAAGTAAGTCCTGTCTGTGGGAACTGTTATCTCGCATGTTTGGGCCACAGCTGCTGATACAGATCTAATTCTGAGTGTTGTTACTCACCTACCAGGCTGCAACTAGATGAAAAATGTGTATTTCACTTGCTAGATTTCAAGAGACTATTTTAGTTACAAAGCAGAAAGTCTTACTCCTTAAGGGAACTTGAAGTTATAAACAATTTATGACATTAGTGTTTCTGTAGTTTTAGTGCAGTCAGCACATAAATGATTGAAATGGGACATAAACAGAGCAATCTCAGCCAATAAATTCTAAAGCACTCATTAAGAGTTTCCGTCTTTAATCTACCTGCGACAGCACTGGATAATAAATACTGGCTAATAAAAGAGTTCAGCTTTCTCTGAAAAAGAACAGAACTGGAGTAAGCAGTCAGAGTCTCATTTCTGAATCCGCTGTACTCACAGACCTGGAAGGTGGGGGAAAAAATCACCTTTGTTTTGAATTCTGCCCTCCTGCCTTCAGCCCTGAGTACTGCTGGGCTGTGGAAACAGCCCGAGGTAGTTACAGGGAAAAGAGGTAACCCCGTGACATGCTCTAAGCACAGGTCTGCCATCAGCTCTCCTTCAAGGGCCTAGCAAGGAAAGTCTTGGGAAATGGGAAAAATGGTGAAGTGGCATGATCCGGTACTGCTGAGGAAGAGTGTCGTGGTTTAACTC